TTGGCACAGGACAGAGCGGAGTTTAGGGCTGTTGTACATAGGGTCGCTATGAGTCGCAGGCGACTCGACGGCACATAACAACAACATTTAAAGCACTTAAAAAGCAAGTATTGGCTATTTAAAATTATTTCCTACAACAAGTCAGTCCTCTTCACAATTATCTTCTCTCTCTCCAGCTTCCTGGAGTTGTCCACCAGATCCCAGCAGGAAGAACTGAGTTGCTTAGAAGCCTTTGTTAACTACATTATATAGCTTCTTCTGTAATTTTCTCAAATCACACATTCACAAACAGCGTTAGGTATGTGTCTGCAAAATGCATTAGGTATTGATGTGTTTGTTTATGCCACAAATTCATAAGTCATCGACAATGTAATGTAAAAATAGAAAATTTCTGAATTAAAAAACAGAAATAATGTGAAGCATGTGAGATATGTCATAAACAACCTCCCTAAGCTGCCTTGACACCTACAAGATGTGATAAAAGAAAATGTAACAAAATTTTATCTCTGGAAGGGGGCCTTGAGATATTAAGCCAGTTCTAAACAACTCCTTAATATCTAGTAGATGCCATACTGCGCAAAGTCTGACTTTGAAGAAAACATTTAACATGCCAAACATGATGTCACCCAGCCATTATTACGTGAGGTTGATGTTAGAAAATTGTCTGTAAGCACCGGGCTTCTATATATCCCTTGAAAGAACATAGAGGCAAATGATTCCTTTTTTAGACCCTTAACACTCTTATGAGTCTTTGCCAGAGACCAAGGCTGAAATCTGAAGATTGAGACGCTCACCACTGAAATAACATTGTCATTGTCCTTTCTTATTCTTTATCCCTTGTTACATGAACATCTTGTGCTCTTACTTTTGTGCCTTGACATGAATACCTTGCAATAAACAAAATTAATTTATGTGTGACAAACTTAAGCCTTTTTATTCCTGTTTAAAATTAAATCTCAAAGCAACCCCACTCTCAAACCAGAGTTGAGGAGGAAGGGAAGGCTCTGGACAGCCCAGAAGATGCATTCAAATGCTGGAAATGCAGTGTAAATCTGTACAAATCTGGGGGAAATCACCTCCTTGCTTCATCCAACTATCTATTTTCCATTCAAGGAACATGTTCTGAGCTACTGCTGGATATCTGGCACAGTTACTATTGGAAGTTACTCACAGGCGGTATGGGTATGGAAACTAGAATGAAAAGAATAATTAATAACAGATATGCAAAGAGCATAAAGATGCTGTCTGAGAGGGACACTAAAGGATGAAAACTTGTAGGAAGAGAGGGTTGCTAGGGAAACTTCCTGGAGACAGAGATGCCAGTGTTGAGTCTCCTTGGTTGCTGATGGGGCATGTCCAGACAAGTCTGATCCTTGATGGGGCACATGCAGTCTTGACCCGAAGGCACAGGAGAGAAGAGGGCAGCAAATGTCAGGCTTACAGGTTGTCTAGGAATCTTAAGAGGTCTAGCTCAGAAGCCTGGATGGAGCCCCATTCTCCACCTGACCCTGTGGATTGAACCCAATCAAGGCATCTTCTGGGAAGGAAAGGGGAATGCAGTGGTACTAGTCTTCCCATCCCTTGACCCTTTTGATAAGAGTCCCAGCCAAGTAGAGGGAATCCTACCCTCCAACTCACAGAAGGGAATTGACTTTCATTAGTCTCATGCTTCTTTTTAAGGTTGAAAATGGAAATATCATTTAATCCGGCAATTCTACTACTAGGTGTATATCCTAAGGAAATGAGAGCAGTGATACAAACTGATATATGTACACCAATGTTTGTTGCTGCATTATTTACAATAGCCAAGAGATGGAAGCGATCTAAATCCAACAAAAGACAAGTGGTTAAAGGAACCGAGTATTATGTAACACTAAATAATGATAAAAATTCTTGACATGGCATGGATAAATCCAGAGGAAATGATGCTAAATGACATAAGTCCTTTGCAAAAGGGCAATTATGGTAAGACCACTATCATTAAGAACTCACGCAAGGTTTACACATAGGGAAAAAAAATCATTCCTGGATAATTATTAAGGGATAGGAAGGGAGGGAAAGGGAGTAAAAATGAACAAACAGATAAACAGATATTGAACAATTATTAAGTTGGGTGAAAGGAAATGTAATATACTAATTAGAAGCTGATCAGATATAATTAATTATATTCATTATCATTAATGTTATAAAACAAAATGTGTGTGAATGAGTTAATGAAAAACCATTATGATTCATATACTTTCACTTAAAAAGTAATCAAATAAATTAAAAATACTTTTTAAAAAATATTTTTTAAGAAATTGGCTTTCATATTATCTCTGATGACCTCACCTTGGCTATGCAGAAGAATTAATGATTTAGAAACCTCCCCTTCTAGGATCAAAGTTTCTGCTTGTGGGCTCCAATGGTATGAAGCCGCTCCCAATCTTTCAAGGAGGGTGGGGGTGTCAGGGGACTAGCTACACAAAGCGCATACCTCCAACAGGCCCTTTGCAGAAGGTTGTTTACCTTGGACTCTACACCCAATTCCCTCCTACTCTGAGAAACACCTCCAGGGCTGGGAGCTAATTCTTTTTTTCTTCACTTATAAAAAACTCAAAACTGTTAGCAAATACAATGGAAGCAGCCATTTTACTAACATAATGAGGACAGCCACATAGTGATGGTGTTCATTGAATCAATGAATGAGTCCTAATAAACAGGATTATCTTAGTTTGCTCAGGAGTCTTTGGTTTATCAATATCCAGTTACAATTAGCTAAATAAACTTTCATTTTTCTTAGCTCAATGTTTGATACTGTTTGAATATACTGTCTTACAAACAAAATAAACCAACCAACAACCACCATCCAAAAAATAGGAGCTAAAAGAACAAAGATGAAAAAAGAAAAACCCTAAGTATTTCTCACTACAGGCCAGCATGGTCAGAGAGAATGCTGGAGGGAATCTGGATGGACTTTCCTCCTGGATGGAGGTCATAGATCTTCTTCACACCCTTACCGCCCACAGGGTAGTCCACATCACTTCAATGAGGGGTGATTACACCTTGATTTGGTACCAAGGCTCCCTGCAAGTGACTAATGTGGGGACTGTGCAGACTTTGAAGTCTCAGAGATGAGTTTATGCTACAGCCATCTTTAACATATCTCCTGAGTGCCCTAACTTTTAAACCATACATTTGTTACTTGGAGGCACAGAGTTTGGGTTCTGGCCCTGTGTGTCTTGATTTCCAAGGATTACCAGTGGGTTAATTTTTTTTCTTCCTCTTAAGTGGGATGGGGGGAGGGCTAATGATGGCAGGGGCCTGAACTTCTCTGGCAATTGTCATCTGTCAGTGCAAGCCATTCAGGAGTGGGCGAGGCTGGCCGGTCTGATCTGGTTAAGCTTCTGCGGGTCTGATGCAAGTTTGTTCCCTCTTCCATCAGGGTCCGGTGTTCTAATAAACTAACAGCCTTAAGGAAATAAAGGTTGGAATGCAACTACAAGGAACCTCCTTTTACTGTAACTCAGGCTCTATCCATTCACGCTCCCAGTCGCCGAGGCCAGGTCAGATTTTATGTGGTTTTGTCTGAATGACGAAACTAAAGGTGGTCATTGCACTCCGGGCCTTTTGTGAAGATCTAGGTCCCTGGTCCTGATGCAATTCTCTGGATCTTTTACACTAAGCTCTCAGAAGGCAGCGCGCTAGGACCCGGCGGACGCCCACGCTTCAGGCCGTAACTGGCCTGGAAAGGACTGCAGCGCGGCCTTCTGTCCGACCAGCCCAGGGTTCAGTATATCAGTTTGATTATGGGGCCCCTTTCTCAGCCCCAGAGCAAGACCTGTATTCATTATACCTGGTCAACAACCCCCGAGCCACCAGAGAGGCCTGTTTCTCCGGAGCAATCTCGAAGTTTGCTCCCCCTCCCCCGCTCTCCGGCCTCGGAGACCGAGATGGGAGGTGACCCGCTGGCTGGCCGCCTCTTGCCGCCCCTTGCCCGCTATTTGCGCCCAGATGCACGTGTCCCTCTCCGTCCCTTCCTTGGATGCCTGTTAAGCACCCTCCTCAAACTCTCTTCTGAAGCCGCAAGGGAGAGGGAGGAAGCGTGTTGCTGACCGGGATCACAATGGAGACACTGTCCCGCGAATTAACCGCTGGAGTACCGGGCAGAGGGTGCGTAGGACCCTTCCTCATGCTCGGAGCCGCTCAGTCTTTGGCCTCCATCCTCATATCCCGACTCCTTGTAAGGCTGGAGAGCTTGGCATGCGTGCGCGAGCACCAGCCTAGTTAAAGACTGCTCCTGACGCCATGGTCCCACGAGCAACCATCCACCCAAATGCCCGCAGCTCTCCTGGTCCCAGACGCTGGACAGTGGGGTTATGGAACAACCGTTTTCCCTGCCTACCTAGTGTTCCCCGGCTTCTCCACCCCGCGAGGTCACGGGTTATCCCCTCCCCCAGCAATGCGACCCTATAATAAACAAATTTTTCTCTGAGCCTCCCCTGCCGCGAGCGCCCTCGGGGACCTCAGCAGCTGCAGCCTTAGCTCAGCCCTTCCAGAAAGGGGGCGTGGCTGCGCCTGGGCCGGGAGCGTACTGGGGTTCAGGGGAGGCGGAGCCAGGCCGCTGTCACCGGGCAGGAGAGAACGTTGCGAACGTGCGCCCGAAGCCCATTGGCTGAGCAGGGCCACACTCCCGGGTCTAGATTGGCCCGCGGTGCGGAGGGGAGGCGCCCTCCCCAAGGTAGTCCTTATAGGCCACTCCACCCTGGTGCTAGGGAGCTTAGAGGGCTGAAAGGGAGGTGAGGGTGGGTGGAAGGGACAAGCTCGGGCAGGACTCGGGGTTGGCACCATTCTGCACACCCATTAAAGCGGCTGTTTACACCTGGTCTAGAAACTCTCCATCACCTCTCTAACCGGTGAGTACTTATCCCTATGCGGACGGCGTCAGCTAGAATAGGGGCTCACGGTTTTCCCCAGCCTAGACTGACGCCGGGCTGTGTATCCCTTTCGTCTCCCAGTTTCTCCCGTGCCTCCGCATCCTGAGCTCATCTGCAGACGTCCTGGCGTCCCTAGCCACCATGCCTAGTCTTTGGGACCGCTTCTCGTCGTCATCCTTGTCGTCCTCGTCCTTGTCTCAGACTCCCAGCTCAGATAGCCAGCCGCGCTCCGCCTGGGGGTCAGCGGCCCGAGAGGAGGGGCTGGGCCGCTGCGCGAGCCTGGAGAACTCGGACTGTGAGTCCCTGGACAGCAGCAACAGCGGCTTCGGGCCGGAAGAAGGTGAGCTGGGATCTGGGACCGGAGCCTTTCGAGGGGTCGGGGTAGTGGTGAACGAGGACGTGGAAGTAGGGGTTCAAGCCACTGGGGCTTCCTGTCCCATCAGCATGGATAGGCGGAGATCGGGGATTTGGGAAGCTGGTTGAGCATAGGATAGGAACGTGGGGCAGAAACTGAGGCACGGAGTGGAAGGGCTCGGGATTCTTAGAGTAGCAGCTCCTCTAAATGATCCCAGTCTTATCCGCTCTAACGTTCCCAGATGCATCCTATCTGGATGAGGTATCCCTGCCCGACTTCGAGCTGCTCAGCGACCCCGAGGACGAGCACTTATGTGCCAGCCTGATGCAGCTGCTGCAGGACAACCTGGCCCAGGCACGGCTAGGCTCGCGGCGGCCCGCGCGCCTGCTGATGCCCGGCCAGCTGGTGAGCCAGGTGGGCAAGGAGCTCCTGCGCCTGGCCTACAGCGAGCCGTGCGGTCTGCGGGGGGCGCTGCTGGACGTCTGCGTAGAGCAGGGCAAGAGCTGCCACAGCGTGGGCCAGCTGGCCCTCGATCCCAGCCTGGTGCCCACTTTCCAGCTGACCCTCGTCCTACGCCTGGACTCACGCCTCTGGCCCAAGATCCAGGGGCTGTTCAGCTCTGCCAACTCCTCCTTCGTCCCGGGCTTCAGCCAGTCCCTAACGCTGAGCACAGGCTTCAGAGTCATCAAGAAAAAGCTGTATAGCTCGGAACAGCTGCTCATCGAGGAGTGTTGAGTCCACAACAGAGACCATGGGACTTTTGGGGGTGGACACTGGGCAGGCAGGAGCTAAGGGACTGTTGCGCCTGCCCTTAGAAAACTGACGACAGCCACCTGATGGGAGGAAGGCTGAAGTAGGGGCCAGAAGGCTTCCTAGGAAGCTCACTGCGCTGTGTGCAAGCGGCCGTGCTTTGGAAGCGCTGGCCCCTCAGTACTGTAGCATGAAACAAAGGCGTAGAGGCCAGCCAGACTCTGGCCAGATGTGTAGCATGTACCTGATTATTTTTATTATTACTGACAGTTAAGACAGCAGTGGTTTTACAGGGCCTGTAGAGCAGCCGAGCTGCCCTGGCTTCTGCCGGAGTTGCTCTGTTGTAGCCTGCCCTGGTGGGAGGGGGGAGGCCATGGAGGGTGGTCTGTGTGTGTGTCATGGTCTGAACGGACCAAGCGTGTTTGTTGTTTGTTTTCGTATCATTTGTTTTTCTGATCGAAGTTTCACTACTGACCTGTTCTAGGCAGCTATCTTACAGACGCATGAATGTAAGACTAGGAAGGAATCGGTGTTGAGATCACTGAGATCATTGACACTTAAAGAAAAATTGCACCTGGAGCTGCATTGGCCCATCCCCCGCTGTGTACTGAGGAGTGGAGCTTGGAGGGAGGGGATGGGGTTGGTTGGAGGTGGGGGCTGGACCCCTCGCCAAAGAAGTGCCATCTGGGTCTTCCATCTAGAACTGTTTACATGAAGATACTCCCTGTTCATGAATACACTTGATGTTCAAGTATTAAGACCTATGCAATATTTTGTACTTTTCTAATAAAAAATACGGTTTTTAAAAACGATTGCTTGTCATTTGTGCTCTGAAATAAAAGGAGAGGGAGGGAGCTGCTGGTAAACCCAGCTTCCTCTGACCCTGGGGTTCACCTGTGTTTTCCTCTACTGGGATGGACTACCAACCTGGAAAGAGGTATGTAGTCATGCAGTCTGTGCCAAAAGTTTTGGCTCCTTGCTGGAGAGGCTGCCAGGGAAAGAACTGGAAGATGAGGTCACTCTGGCCCCCTGCTGAGCCAGAGCGTATTAGCAAGAGCTCACCTGGGCACCCTGCTTGGAGTCTAGTCTCCTTTGAGGTATTGGATGTTAAGGCTAGAAGAATCTGGGTTTTTTCTAGGGAATAAATCACAATTTGACTTTTCTACAGCCATGAAATACTGGAATCTTAAAGGGTGAGAGACCAGGCACACCAGGAAAAGGTTAGCAAAAAAATGACTTAATCTACACTTAGAGCTAGGGATCAGAGGAGGGTGTGGCCTACCACCTTGAGGAGGCGTGGCCATGCCCACGGCAGATCCAGCCCTCCCTCCCCATCACACCACACCACACCACACACTCACACCTTACAGGTGCACAGAGGTGAAGGTGCGAGGCGGGCAGTGAGGGCGGAGCCTAGTCACTGCAAGCCTGTCTGAAAAACATTCTGGGAGTCCTGGGTTCTTTGTGCTGCTTGGGCCTCAATTTCCTTATCACCAACATGGGGGCTGGGCTACATGAAGGCCAAGGCCTTCCTACTTCTGAGGCTGTTGAGACTGGTCCTCCCACACCAGCTAGACTTTGTACAGTTATCTCCCTTGTTTCTTTTCCTGATCCCAGATAGGTCTTGTTTGCCCACAAGACTGAAACACTGGTTCTTCCACTTCAGTGTGCTGTCAAAGCCCTTGTGACTGGTTAAACACAGATCCCTGTGGAGAGTCTGATTAAGTGGGGCTGAGGCAAAACCAAAAAGGCAAACCAGCTGCTTCTAGGTCGGTTCCAACTCAGAGAGACGGCATAGGTTGGAGTGGTCCTCCACTCAGGATTTTTTTTTTTTATTATTGCATTATTTTACGTGTACCATCAAATCAGATCTGACTGGTACAGGAGGAGATTGCCCCCTCCTTCTCCAGCAGAGCATCTGGTGGATTTGAACCGCGCCACTCAGGGTTTTTAAGGCTATGACCCAAGCAGACAGCTAGGCCTTTCCTTCCAGGTGGGCTTGAATCACTAACTTTTTGTTCAGAGGCAGCACATTTAATAATTTGTGTCACTCAGAGGGCCTTGGCTTTTTGACTGCTGCTGCTCTTAGGAGACTTGAGTCAACTCGAATAACAAGCATGTATGCACAACAGATCAAACACAGCCCAGTCCTGGCCAGCCCCACAGCCTCTGTGGTGCTTAAACTCATTTTTGCCTTTACTGTTTCAATCCGTCTCACTGAGGGTCTTCCTCTTAACATGTCCAAACTATATGAAGACTTGCCATTCTTACTTCTATGAAGCACTCAGACTGCATTTCTTTTAAGGGAAATTTGTACTTCTGGCAGTCCATTCAATAATTCTTTGTCATCACCATAATTCAAAGATATTAATTCTTCCTCAGTCTTGTTTTTCGTATAGTTAACAAACTCATTGCTGTCAAATCAGAACTGACTCATAGTTGACCCAGGCAAATTGATGGGAGCCACTAGTGGATTCCAATCACCAAAGAGGCTTGGTTATCAGCACAACTTCTACAGACGGCATCATCAGAGCTCCCTATACCTATATGAACGTATATAAAAAAAGCAATAGAAAATGCTTAGGACACCTTATTCTTTAAAGTGACATTCTTGCTCTTTGTTGTTGCTGTATACTATTGAGTCAGAATCCACCCATAGCTGACTTTTTCAGCAGTGTTCCAGAGGCAGTAAATTGCAGGGAAGGAGATTGCCTTTCTTTCTCTCAGAGAGCATCTGGTGGATTCGAACCATGTGCCTTCAAGTTGGCAGTGCAGTATTTTTCCACTAGGCCACCAGAGTTCCCTTAAAGCAATCTTAGCAGGAAATTTTCCCAATGCAATACATCATGTAATTTCTTGACTGCCGTTTCCATGGGTGTTGATTGTGGATTCAAGTAAAATTAAATTCTTGAAAATGTCAATCTTCTATTTATCAAGATGTTACTTATTGGTCTAGTTGCGAAGATTTTTGTTTTCTTGATGTTGAGATGTAATTAATAGAAAGACTTTCCTCTTTAGTACGTGATTCAAATTCTCTCTACTTTCAGCAAGCAAGGTTGTGGTATCTACATAATGCAGGTTGTTGAGTCTTCCTCCACTACACATTCTTCATTAAGGTCCAGTTTTTTAAATTATTTATTCCTATACAGATTGAATAGGTGTGGTAAAAGGTTGCAACTCTGATGCACACCTTTCCTGATTTTAAACCTTCCGTTGTTTCCTTTGTTTTGTTCAAAAGTCTGCTTCTTGGTTTAAAAAAAAAATTAAAAAATATTAATAGAAATAAATAAAGTCTGCTTCTTGGTCCATGTGTAGGATCTTTAACCATTGTTTCTCATTTAAGTGTTCTTTAATTCCCATTCTTCTCAATGTTATCAACAACAATTTATTTATGTAAATTGAATGCCTTTATATAATCATTAAAGCACAAGTAAACATCTGATAGTCTCTGCTTCCAGTCAAGTTTCATCTGACATCACCAACATTCCTTGTTTTGTGACCTCTTCTGAATCCAAATTGAATTTCTGGCAGTTCCCTATTGAGGTACTTACTGCTTCAGCTGGTTGCTTGGTTGGTTGGTTTGTTTGAAATAATCTCCAGCAAGATTTTATGTTTGTGTGATATTAATGTTGTTTGCTATTTTCTGCATTCAATAGTTTTTTTTATTGCACACAAATCTGAATCTCTTCCATTTCTTTGGCCAGAAAACTGCTTTCCAAATTTGTTAGTATAGACACGCAAGCACATCCAGAATTACACCTGTTTGCTACAGCACTTCAGTAGGTGTTCTGTCCATTCTTGGAGCCTTACTTTGATCAATACCATCAGTGCAGCCTGGGTTTCTTCTTTAAGACCAGTTAATATAACTAGTAATCAAATTCATGAACAACCACTAAAGCCAATGATGAAGAAATTGAGGATTTCTATCAACTTCTGCTGTCAGATATTGACTGAACAGGCAATTAAAATGCATTAATTATAATTGATAACTGGAATCCAAAAGTTGGAAACAGAAAAACATAGTCAGAAAATATGGCTTTGATAATAGAAATGAAGCCAGAAGTTGCAAAATAGAATTTGTACTACTGACTTATTCATTGCAAATACCTTAAAGCACACGCACACAAATTGTAATCAACAATTATATACATGGATGACCCCCCAGTGGAAAATACAGGAATTAAATTGACTACATCTGTCGCAAGAAATAAGGAGGAAGCTCAATATCATCAGTCAGAATTAGGCCAGAGCCTGACTATGGAATAGACCATCAATTGTTCCTACACAAGTTCAAGTTGAAAGTGAAGAAGAGTAAAATAAACCCATAAGAGCCAAAAAATGACCTGAATGTGTCCCACCTGGATTTAAAAGCCATTTCTTTCTCTTTTTTATTCTCATTCATTCTGTGTTGCACATTTTCCTCCCTACCCACAGTTCACTTTTGAAAAAAATTTTTCATTCATTGTTGCATTTAGAGACCATCTCAAGAGTAGATCTGATGCCTAATAACATAGGACCCAGAAGAGTTGTGACTTCCTGGCAGACACCCAGAAATTTACTTTTTCATCAACCTCCCAGACATTCACACTCAGCCTGAACTTTGAGGTGTCTCAGCTGTACCACATCTCTTTAGTAGAAGTGGGTGATTTGCTCTCCTAAATCAAACAACTTGGGTTAGAATTAGATTTGGAAATGAAGGGTGACAATAATGAAGATACCCAGATACCTATCCTGCACTGACCTTTTTTTTTTCTGACCCTCCATCTTTCTAAGTATGATGTCTCTCCCCAAAGAATAGCCTCCTCTAGCAACATTTCTAATGTGTGTGAGATGAAGCTTCATCACATTCTCCAAGACATGTATTTGTTCTTATGTCAGTTCATGGGATATTCAGCACTCTGCTCTAACACCACAGTTCAAAGGCATCAATTCTTCTTTTGTCATATTTTTTATTTGTCCAGTTTCCAGATGCATAGCAAGTGACT